TGGTGTGTAGTTTGGTCAACAAATAGCAATGTGGTTACTTTTGAGTAAGACGGCGGCCGGAAGAGTTAAGTAGTAAGGAGTCTGCGACGCACCAAGACGCATTTGTTTCAAGAGTATATATTTCAGCCCATTCTCAGGGTATTGTGATTAGATCGAGACAACAACCTCACTCCCACACCACGCGGATAGTTGTCTATATATATGTGATGATCTGAAAGCATATTACGGTTTCAGTAATACTTGTAAACTGACAGGTAAACTTTTGGCCTAAACAGAGAATATTCTCAAGTTATAACTGTATTGCATTATAAATTGATGGTTTAAAGTATAAAAGGTTTAACTAACTCGTTTTCTTTTATAAACCCTAAAGCCAAGGTTTTCTTTAAATTGAAATTTGAGGGAACACTTAAATTGTTTTCCAATTTCATATTTCACGTTTGAGAAGAATACAGTTTTAACCTATCCAAACCTAAACTAACCTAATCTAAGCTAACTTAATCTACGCTAATCTAACCTAACCATAGATTCTAAATAGATAATAGCACTATATTGAGTACAAGTTTTCAAGTGAATACTACGAGGGTACAACTCGCCGCCCCCCCCCCTCCTTAGGAGAGGTTGATATATCTCCATGTTCTTAGCTCACATGTTAAATCTTACGGTGAACATATCCCTATTCGTTGCTCCCTGATTAACGCCACCGCAGACACACACACAAGAAAATACCTGCCTGTAATTAGGCTAGGCTCGTCCAGGCAGCGGCCAAACTCAAAAGACGCATTCATCAATTTCAAAGTACATACGTCATCAGTTGTGAGTCGTGTGTAAAGTGTTTTTCATTCATAAACCGGTGGGGGGGGAAGTTGGTATTTGGCCTTTGTTAATGAGGACGGGTTGGAAAATACAAACGAAAACCGTAAATGCTTTATGCTAGTCTCCGAGATGCGAGGATATACAAGGTCGTATATATATTATAGACATGAACCAATTCGCAACAAAACTTCAAAAAGAGGACTTGTTATATAATATACAAATAACTTCTAGTAATTCACCCATACCTCGAAAATATACAGCAATTCTAAAATAAGAGTATACTGAAAAAAAAAAAAATACACGTTTCCTCGCATCAAAAGTGAACTATTGAGTAGCAGTACGAATATATGTTCTGTTTTAAAGTAAGTGGTCGGAAATGCAAATAAACCTATTTTTAGTAGACAGTTTCGTAATCTATACAATCTTGACTTAGATAAGAATAGTAACTTAGTCGGCATTCAAAAGTATTCAGTAGTATATAGAAGCGTGTTTAGTAATACAAGGAAGTCATTTAATAATACAAAATAGCCATTTAGTAAAATATAGAAGCCATTTAGCAATACATAAAAACCATTTAGAAATACATGAAGCTGTTTAGTAATACAGGGAAAGGCACGTCACGTGAGAGGATAGTAGTTAGTAGTAGTTTAGTAGTTAGCACAGTCAGGGCGCAACCGAAGGGACATTAAACCTAAGTCCTTTCTCCTTAACTCCCAAAGGAATTGCAACACCAGGAGAGAAGAGTCAGAGGGGACGTGATCACGATGTGCAAGATAATCGAGGATATATAAAGAGGAGACTTGATCACGATGTACAAGATAATCGAGGACATATAAAGAGGAGACTTGATCACGACGTATAAAATAATCAAGGATATATATATATATATATATATATATATATATATATATATATATATATATATATATATACACATATATATATATATACATATATATATATATATATATATATATATATATACATACATATATATATATATATATATGTCGTACCTAATAGCCAGAACGCACTTCTCTGCCTACTATGCAAGGCCCGATTTGCCTAATAAGCCAAGTTTTCATGAATTAATTGTTTTTCGACTACCTAACCTACCTAACCTAACCTAACCTATCTTTTTCGGCTACCTAACCTAACCTAACCTAACCTATAAAGATAGGTTAGGTTAGGTTAGGTAGGGTTGGTTAGGTTCGGTCATATATCTACGTTAATTTTAACTACAATAAAAAAATTGACCTCATACATAATAAAATTGGTAGCTTTATCATTTCATAAGACAAAAATTAGAGAAAATATATTAATTCAGGAAAACTTGGCTTATTAGGCAAATCGGGCCTTGCATAGTAGGCTGAGAAGTGCGTTCTGGCTACTAGGTACGACATATATATATATATATATATATATATATATATATATATGTCGTACCTAGTAGCCAGAACGCACTTCTCAGCCTACTATTCAAGGCCCGTTTTGCCTAATAAGCCAAGTTTTCATGAATTAATTGTTTTTCGACTACCTAACCTACCTAACCTAACCTAACCTAACTTTTTCGGCTACCTAACCAAACCTAACCTATAAAGATAGGTTAGGTTAGGTTAGGTAGGGTTGGTTAGGTTCGGTCATATATCTACGTTAATTTTAACTCCAATAAAAAAAAATTGACCTTATACATAATGAAATGGGTAGCTTTATCATTTCATAAGAAAGAAAATAGAAAAAATTTATTAATTCAGGAAAACTTGGCTTATTAGGCAAATCGGACCTTGCATAGTAAGCCAAAAAGTGAGTTCTGGCTACTAGGTACGACATATATATATATATATATATATATATTTGGTGATTTGAGGTGAGGTGATTTGATGAACTATGCCCAAGATTATCATCAAAGTGCCGTCGGAGCAATGGGGAATTAGCTACGGCTACCATCGTCTTTTGTACGGTTACTGATAGTCAAGCGGTTTAAGGTACCATGTACCCGAGTTGCATTGTGCTCCTGGTGGTCTGGGTTCGAGTCACTTTTGGGGTGTGTGGAGTAAGGGCAACCTGTTAGGCATTGGCAGTAAAAAACACAGGTGGAAACTGGACACAGATAAGACAGACAAATACGCCAGTAGTTAACACAGGAAGATAGAGCGAAAGCATTCTATTCCCAGCACCAACGATAGGTATAACACAACCCGAGAGGGTTCGGGAGTCGCTCAACCAGATAAAGAAACCTAAGAATCGGAGCCCAAGAGCTATCGTTTATTCCCTGCAGACACAGTTAGCTAGACACACGTAACATTAATAACGCTAAATTCACCAGGCAGTGTACTTGGTATTTACCTAAAATAATAAATATAATCATTCAGGATCTCAATAGTTTACGAGATCTAAATCGTTACGAGTTCGATCTCGGCCCAACGTGTTGTAAATACAGACTATATCGCCATGATTGAGGAAAGATGTACAGGTCTCGTAAGTGGAGACCTAAGTGGTTGGTGAATACTAGACCGGGGGCGAGGTAGTGCTACACTAGCCACCATGACTAAACCACAAGTCTGGATGTAATTAAATCAGCAACCATGACTCATGTTAGAAATATTGTGGTATTCTAAGAGCATCGTACTATGACCAGGAAGATGGTAGTATGGGCGTCTCTCTGGTAGCAAGGTACCCTACACCTGCCACCACGACCCAACCAGTATGGACGTCTCTCTGGTAGCAAGGTACCATACACCTGCCACCAAGACCCAACCAGTATGGACGTCTCTCTGGTAGCAAGGTACCCTACACCTGCCACCACGACCCAACCAGTATGGACGTCTCTCTGGTAGCAAGGTACCATACACCTGCCACCAAGACCCAACCAGTATGGACGTCTCTCTGGTAGCAAGGTACCATACACCTGCCACCAAGACCCAAGCAATATGGACGTCTCTCTGGTAGCAAGGTACCATACACCTGCCACCAAGACCCAACCAGTATGGACGTCTCTCTGGTAGCAAGGTACCATACACCTGCCACCAAGACCCAACCAGTATGGACGTCTCTCTGGTAGCAAGGTACCATACATCATGAAGCCACCAACACCCAAGCAGCAGTAAGGCAGTGTGGGGGCGTCATTATAGTAACTATACACCATGGCCCTGCCACCGTGACAACCAGGATAATGGTAGCGTGGCCGACAGTATGGTAGCAATGTGTCACGACTGACTTCCATTACAGTGCCATAAATCTTGCCACTTCTTGGTATAACTGCCCATCAAAGCAATAAAAATAGTTTGTTGCAAGTAATTTATATATATGCTATCGTTTTATTTCCGTTAATGAATATATATATATATATATATATATATATATATATATATATATATATATATATATATATATGTGTGTGTGTGTGTGTGTGTGTGTGTGTGTGTGTGTGTGTGTGTGTGTGTGTGTGTGTGTGTGTGTGTGTGTGTGTGTTTGTATGTGTAAGTTTGTATACAGGATATGTGGAAGTTGGTCAGAATTACATTAAAACTTAGTAAAGGCACATTAATGACACTATAAAAAAGACACCTCGAACACTGTTTATGTAGGACAGACGTACATTTGTGTATTTATGTATTTATGTTTGTAGGCTAAATTAGCATTTTAAAAGCATTCCAATCACCTTCTGTGGTTGATTGTTGAATAAATAACTGAACAAAATGTTTATCATGTCCTTAGCAGGTATCTAACCCTGTCCATGGAGGACAGAAGAAAATGTATATATGCTGGTTAGCATTGTAATTGTGTGGCCACGTTTGTGGCAAAAAAAAAAAAATCTTCCTGACCCTTTACCACTTTCCCTACCCTCCACCCCTTTACTTACCCTCTACCCCTTTCCCTATCCTTCAATATCTTCCTTACCCACCACCACCTTTCCTACCATTCACCACCTTCCCTACCTTATCAAGTACGTGAGACTAGTGATATATTATGCAGCCCGGGTAGGGAACCTCCACGTAAACAAACACAGAACTAAACTAAAGACGGTGCAGAGGGTTGCTGCAACACGGGTCCAGGAGCCGAGGGGGATAAATTATGAGGAAGAAAAAAAATGAGAAACTCATCACACAGCTGAAAAAGATAAATAATCTCATGATTAATGATAAAGAAGATAAAAGATGTTCAAGTTCATCAAACCGATGTTCAACATGAGGCTGGTGAACAAGTGGAGTAAACTTAATGGTGAGACCCAGATGAGTTTAGGAAGCGTAAGTTTCCTTAAGAAGAAGCGTAAAGAACTGGTTCTTTGTCGTGAACGCTGTGAACAACTGCAACGACCTGAATGGTGAGGCTGAGATGAATCGTTGGGAGGTGAACCCTGGAAACACAAACCGAAACTGTCTCTATTTTCCGCTTGTTACAACTTTTAATAAAGTTGTTACATCTTGGCTTAACGTGTTTATGACGTATTGGAACGTTGTTACAACTTGCTATATTGGTTGATATAACTGGTTAGGTGTTAAAACTTGTTCGAATGTTGTACCAACGTCGTAGTTTCGTTGTGTGTTTGGCGGGAAGCCACCGTGAGAGTGGTAAACAAGTGGAGTGAACAAGGTGGTGAGATAGTTGGCACCAACTGGGTTCACAGTTTCAAGACTATGCACGATATGAGATACGAGAGATGGGAGTCACTGTATCAGTCGACTGACAACACACAAGTCGGGGTTCAGGAGCTGAAGCCATGTGAGATTCACTCTTATGCAGCCCTGAATTGCGACCCCTTATCCTATAAAGCCTCACAAGGGTCGTTCCTCTACCACGAGGAGAGACCGGGGGAGTTGGACCTCCTTATACTGGAGAGGAGGAAGGGCAGAGGGGACATGACAGCGACATAAGCTTATAAGGAAACATATTTTTTTCCTGGTTTGTTTGGAGCACTTTATAAATTCCTTGAAGAAGTGACCTGGTTAAACATGCTCGAGTCTTAAGTCAAGCAAGTCTTGGCCCTAAATATCTCTGACATCCTTAAATTAAGCAAGTCTTGGCCCTAAATATCTCTGACATCCTTAAATTAAGCAAGTCTTGGCCCTAAATATCTCTGACATCCTTAAATGAACCAAATATTGTACCAAAATCACTTTCACATCCATTTTATCACTCCCCTCATCCATCAAATTAATCAAGTGAAGCTTTAGATTTAGACCTTAAATAACCCTAAATACATATTTTGTCTTCATAATACTGTACTTAAATTCCACACATAAAATTATTCTACTAAACATATCTGAACCCGTGAAGGAGACAAGTACTCACCAAGTTGTGCTTGCGGAGGTTGAGCTTTAGCTCTATGGTCCCGCCTCTCAGCAAGTGCTCGGCGAATATATAATTTGACCTTAAATTATTTATATTAACTATCCCATTCCTAATAATTACAATTCTCAATCTCTAGTTCTCCCAAATTAGCACCTTCTAAGATTTAATAAGATTTAAATCTTCCTTAAGCTTTCCCGTCACTGTAAATCTTACGAAATCAGCACCTTGAAAGATTTAATATATTTGAAGACTTCCTTAACACTGTCCGTCACCTTAAATCCCTTATAAAGAACAGCTAAGCCAACAAAACGTCAATAATTACATCTCATACATCCTTAAACACACACACACACACACAAATAAAAAATAAATTAATCTGCATTTCCTTCCATCAGCTCTTTTCTCATATACTTTATACATCGCTTAAATCAAAGCCCGAGTTAGCGCAGGGGATTCCTTGTTTGGAAGCCTCACAGCTAGCAAACTTTCCCTTTTGTATTCCACACACCACTGTAAAGGAATAATGCAAATTTAAGGAGTCCTTGCATTCTCCTTTGTCTTCTTCAGCTTGAAACATGGCGGATCGTATTTCTTAAATGGAAAAACTAAAAAAAAAAAAAAAGCTAAACCTCTCGTATTTCTGGAATTTATACAATACTCAGCAGCTTGTTGGGGTTGGCTGGAGGGGGTTTGGATCCTACTCCTGCAAGGTGACTCTCCAACAGGCTTAATAGTTATTGCACGAGCAATAGGAAGCAAACTACCGTTTTTAAGTTTAGTTCATTTATTATGCACCCCATACCCATCTTGTGGGCGGTAGTGGAAAGGGGTTACAAAGGCACATAATGGGCTTAGGGACTGAACCCCACAATTCATTTAGCTAAGCACGCGTGTTGTAATATGTAATAATAATTGTAAAATATATTTGTTCAACGTCCTCCCAGCGAGTATAAGAAATATTACCGGAACAACCGTGGACATCTTCAAGAGAAAACTAGATAGTTTTCTTCAAGGAGTGCCGGACCAACCGGGCTGTGGTGGGTATGTGGGCCTGCGGGCCGCTCCAAGCAACAGTTTGGTGGACCAAGTTCTAACAAGTCAAGCCTGGCCTCAAGCCGGACTTGGGGAGTAGAAGAACTCCCAGAACCCCATCAACCAGGTATCTAATTATACTGCTTAACGTTAACAAAAATAACAACCGAATTCATTACCATTAAAAAATGAAAAAATAAATTATTAAAACAATTAAAAGATATATAATTCATGTGATGAGCATTTAATTAAAAATAAAAAATAAATTTAGATAAATTTAGCTATGACACACGTATCCAAGGCTGTGATACATGTATCCAAGACTGTGACACACGTATCCAAGGCTGTGATACATGTATCCAAGGGAGTGACACACGTATCCAAGGCTGTGATACATGTATCCAAGGGAATGACACACGTATCCAAGGCTGTGATACATGTATCCAAGGGAATGACACACGTATCCAAGGCTGTGATACATGTATCCAAGGGAATGACACACGTATCCAAGGCTGTGATACATGTATCCAAGGGAGTGACACGTATCCATGGCTGTGATACATGTATCCAAGGGAATGACACACGTATCCAAGGCTGTGATACATGTATCCAAGGGAATGACACACGTATCCAAGGCTGTGATACATGTATCCAAGGGAATGACACACGTATCCAAGACTGAGACACAAGTATCTGAAGTGCTGAACTGGATCTCTAAATCCAAAAGTTTTTTGGTAATTAGTAAATTATTCTTATCAAGTACATTTCTAGGGAAGAATTTGATTGTAGATACAGGGCCACAATACATCAACCATTGATACTTCCACTTACGAAACCTGTACATCTTTCAACAATCTTGGCGGCTTTGTTTACATATAATAAACAGTTTACAGGCCTCGAAACTTCACAACCCAGGATTATTACTATTATAAACTCGCGGTGCTTTGTAACTCAGAAATTATTCAATAAATGTAAACCAAGCCGCCATGATTGAGGAAAAGATGAACAGGTTTCGTGAGTGAATGAGTAAATGCTTGAGTAATCCTGTCTCTGGTACCTTAGCTCACTATCTTGAGATTATCTAAGGAGCCGGTCGGCCGAGCGGACAGCACACTGGACTTGTGATCTTGTGGTCCTGGGTTCGATCCCAGGCGCCGGGGAGAAACAATGGGCAGAGTTTCTTTCACCCTATGCCCCTGTTACCTAGCAGTAAAATAGGTACCTGGGTGTTAGTCAGCTGTCTCGGGCTGTTCCTGGGGGTGGAGGCCTGGTCGAGGACCGGGCCGCGGGGACACTAAAGCCCCGAAATCATCTCAAGATAACCTCATGAATCTGGAGATGATTTCGGGGCTTAGCGTCCCCGCGGCCCGGTCCTCGCCCAGGCCTCCTTTTTGTTACACACTTCCAGGAAGCAGCCCGTATAACAGCTGTCTAACTCCCAGATACCTATTTACTGCTAGGTGAACAGGTGCATCAGGATGAAAGAATCTCTGCCAATTTGTTTCCGCCTCCGCCGGGGATCGAACCCGGAACCTTAGGACTACGAACACCGAACGCTGTCCACTCAGCCGTCAGGCCCCATAAGTAGAGTGGAAAATATCCGAACTACATATATAGGAATATACCACTCAGGAGCTCTGTAAGGCCTCTCCACGTCCCCGTTACCATGGGCCAAGGCTCTCTCGGTGATGACCCATCCATCTACTAGCCAGAGTCGACGGTTATAACCTGACTGACGTAGCGACGCTCACGTTTTCGCCTGCGCTAGAAACCCTCCACCGTAACTCGCGGTAAATTGAAAACTTCCCATTAAACAAATTTGCTATAGCGAGACACTGAGCTCCACTGAGCGGGCTGCTTCCTGGGGGTGGAGGCCTGGTCGAGGACCGGGCCGCGGGGACACTAAAACCCCGAAATCATCTCAAGATAACCTCCATTATAAAGACCACCTCACAAAAATAAAAAGTTAGTCACTTTATGTACTGTTAATTAAGTATTCAATTTATTGTCTATAATAGTTAACTACCCAATTACAGCACACACAAAAATGAAATTACCTTAATAAGAGAATATCCAGAGCTTAAGTAAAGCAACAAGTACCAGTAATAAATTACAATGATGATCCTAGTATGTTACAGGTAAGTGGACAGGAAGTTCATTATACACCTAAACACCACATTTGTCCATTAACTTGTCAAAAAATGATATTAAAATGTTTATAGGAATACTAGCCAATAATTATAAATTAATAAATTAGTGGCAATCTAATATATATATATATATATATATATATATATATATATATATATATATATATATATATATATATATATATATATATATATATATATATATATCACTAAGAACTCAATTTGACCCGGCCAGGATTCGAACCCATGACGTGCATAATAGCTCGATCCTACATGCACAATATGTAATACACACACACACACACACAATTTTAAATGTGGATATGATAGAGGCCAATATAAGCTTAGGAACTTGTACGCCCCTTGATTGATGGCTGAGAGGAGGGACCAAAGAGCCGAAACTCAATCCTCGCAAGCACAACTAGGTGAGTACACACACACACTAACAACACGCACAAATTATCAGTAGCCGACTTAACATCACTTATGGACTTAAATTATACACTCAAACCTTCAGATCCATCAAACGTAAGCAGTTACGCACACATAATGTTACACGAACCAACACTGCTCTTAAAATATGCCACGATAGCGTTCTTAAATAAATTCAGCTTTATACGCTAATAAATATTCCTTGAGGGTCACACCTAAGTTGTCATAAGTTTGCAAGTGCTCACAAATGGAGGTTTTAGCTCCGTTTTAAGATATGTTTGAGTAAACGCTAGTGACATGTTTAGTGAATATTTCCGGGTTATGATGTAGCCGTTATATGTCAGTGATCTGTCTGTCTGTCTGTCTGACTGCCTGCCTGCCTGCCTGTCTGTCTGTCTGTATGTCTGCCTGTCTGCCT